TGAAGATCATCTAGAGCTTACATGATTCAAAATAATAATTCCTGCTACAATAGGCATGTCCAGTATTAAAGTTTATAGGTTTTTTGTTTCTTCATTGCTTGGAGGAGATCTGAGGATTATATTTATGTCTGTTCACTCAAGATATTGCAGCTTCACATTATGTCATTAGCTAATGCCTTCAGAAAGTTGCATCTCTTTTTACTTTTGTTATTTTCCAGTTAAAACCTTATAATTCATCAAGTTGATACTTAATCTGCACGTGCATGAAGTGTATATTTCAAACCATATTTGCTCACATTGGATTATAGAATGTATTATCAATATATCACCATGTTGATCTTAACCAAGATCAGTTTTGCTGAACTGATTGCCTTTTTTTCTTTGACAGATTTTAGATGAAATGCCTGTCTTCTATAACCTAAATGCCATAGAGAAGCGTGAAGTTTTGATTGTGATTTTGCAAATTGTGCGCAATTTAGATGATACCTCACTTGTCAAGGCATGGCAACAAAGCATTGCTCGAACCAGATTATTTTTCAAGCTCATGGAAGAATGCCTAATTCTTTTTGAGGTTGTTATTTATATGAAATTCCCTATTCTGTTGACGTCTTATTTGGCTTTTTGATCTTGTAGGTGATTGTTGTTATGATCACTTATTGTTCTAGTTGATAATGTATAACATCACTAAGATAAATGGTTCTATAGCCGGGTCTCATTAGTTTCTAATTATATTATTTCTCGCTTCATTATTGTTATTTTTAGTTAATAATCTCAAGCCCTTATTGAAGTACCTATTTCTTGTTTCCTTCCATAGTGATAGGATAGTGAATAATACATCTCCCTGTTTTTTATATAAAAAAGAAGATAAATTATATATCCTATTCTTTGATTTTGTATATTTTCATATGCATGAAAAGAATAGTGAATAATATATCATTTCCTTTTTATGTAGACCATATATGACTCTGATGTTTATGTTTCTCAAGAGTGGTATGGAGATTGACTTGAAGTACTTGTTTTCTTGATGTCCCCTCTATTTTGCAGCATAGAAAACCTGCTGATGGCATGCTTATGGGATCCAGTTCTCGGAGCCCTGCTGCTGTTGGTGATACCCCTGGTTCCCCCAAGTACTCTGACAGACTATCTCCTGCAATCAACAACTACCTATCTGAGGCATCAAGACAAGAATTCAGAGTGGGTTCCATTCTCTTCATGCTCTGCTTTACCCGTGTGTGTGCTGTTGGGGAAAGAAAGAGGGGGGGATGGGGGTTAGCAATTTGGCAGAATTTTTAATTGTTTCTTTAAATTCTTTTTCCTGAGTTTGATCATTACGTAATCATCTGAGTTTTTTGTTCCTAATTTGCGAGTTTGCACAATAATAGTGACATTTTAATTCATCCAATCACAATACTAAAGATAATTCTGAAAGCATTATTTTGTGTGAACAAGTTCACATGTTTCTTTATCCATGCTTGATAATTGCTATTTTAGGTTATAAAATCTTCTAATTTCTTGTCGGGTATATTCTACATTGCAGCCTCAGGGAACACCTGATAATGGTTATCTGTGGCAGAGGGTGAATTCTCAGTTGAGCTCCCCAAATCAGCCATATTCGTTGAGAGAAGCACTTGCCCAGGCACAATCTTCTAGGATTGGTGCATCGGCTCAGGCACTAAGAGAGTCGCTGCACCCAGTATTAAGACAAAAATTAGTACGCTTCTCTTATTCTCAATTTTAATTTGATTCCCGACAGTGATTATGTATAACATTACTGTCATATTTGTATTAGGCAACTGAACTTGTAAGTTTTCTCTCAGGAACTTTGGGAAGAAAACTTAAGTGCAGCAGTTAGCCTTCAGGTTTTGGAAATAACCGAGAAGTTTTCCTTGATGGCATCTTCTCATAGCATTGCCACTGACTACGGGAAACTTGATTGCATCACCTCCATATTCATGAGCTTCTTCTCTAAGAATCAACCTTTGGCATTCTACAAGGCCTTATTTCCCGTCTTTAACAGTGTCTTTGATCTTCATGGTGCAACTTTAATGGCGAGAGAAAATGACCGTTTCTTGAAGCAAGTAACATTCCATCTTCTTAGGCTTGCAGTTTTTCGAAATGATAGCATAAGGAAAAGGGCTGTTTCAGGGCTTCAGATTCTTGTGAGGGTAGGATTTTATTTTGCATTTTCCACTAATTTAAAACTCGTGTTTTGTTATCTAATACTGTATTCTTTCTTTTGTGTTGCAGAGTTCTTTCTGTCACTTTATGCAGACGGCTAGATTGAGGGTCATGCTCATAATTACTTTATCAGAATTGACGTCTGATGTGCAAGTAACTCAGATGAAGGCAAATGGGACACTTGAAGAGAGTGGTGAAGCACAGCGTCTTCGAAAATCCTTAGAAGACATGGCTGATGAATCGAAGAGTTCTGATCTGCTGAAGGAATGCGGACTTCCTGAGAATGCTCTTGTAATAATTCCAGAAGCTTCTGCTGACAATAGGTGGTCCTGGTCAGAGTTGAAATATCTTTCTGACAGCCTCCTTCTTGCTCTTGATGCTAGTCTAGAGCATGCTCTTTTAGTAAGTTTTTTGGCCACTCATGTTGAGATAATTAATTGCTATTATTATTTTTGGTCTGAACATGTATGCTCACAATCCATTCTATTCATTCCAGATGAAATGTTGGGAGTGCAGGGCTTTAGTGGTATATGTTTGGTTTTAGTTCTCCCCTAAAACTTCAACTAGTGATACCTGGTGCTAACACCATTCTGGGATGTCTGTTATAGAAAAGTTTTTTTTGATCTGCAATAATATACTTACTCAATTTCATATAGAAAATGTGTAAGCTGATAAGGTTGACGCTTTTGAACTTTCTAAAATTTATGAAAATAATTCCTCTAATTGCATCAATCATGTAATGAAGAGGGAGAGTATCCTCTCTGAAGTCCGGAATCATGAGAGGAGTCTATATGGCTCTGCACAGATTAGACTAATGGTATTTCTGATTATTTATGATGTTTTCTTTCACTCCAGAAGGGAGTTTGTTTCCTTCAAACTAGTGGTATTTCTGGTAGTAGTTTTGCCTTCCAAAGACTTCGATAGTGACATTTGACGCAAGCACCAATAATTACTGTGCCATACTTAAGCTGGTAATTTTCTTTATTTAGGCCTCTATGATGTCAATGGATAGATATGCTGCTGCAGAAGGTTTCTATAAACTTGCAATGGCATTCGCCCCTGTGCCTGATCTTCATATTATGTGGTTATTGCATTTATGCGATGCACATCAAGAGATGCAATCGTGGGCAGAAGCTGCACAGTGTGCTGTAGCGGTTGCAGCTATGGTCATGCAGGTAGTTTACATATATGGAATTGTGTATACCCAAATTTGTATTGTCTGTCTGGGTGCTTAGGACGGAAATTTTTTGTTCTTTGATAAATACTTGGATTTCCTTTAGGCTCTTGTTGCTCGAAATGATGGTGTCTGGAGCAGAGATCATGTAGCAGCTCTACGTAGAATTTGCCCTATGGTCAGCGGTGAGATCACCTCGGAGGCATCAGCAGCTGAGGTCGAGGGATATGGTGCTTCTAAACTCACTGTCGACTCTGCTGTGAAGTACCTACAGCTCGCAAACAAGCTTTTCTCCCAAGCTGAGTTGTATCATTTTTGTGCTAGTATTCTGGAACTTGTAATTCCAGTCTATAAAAGTAGGAGAGCATATGGACAACTGGCAAAAAGTCACACTTTACTGACAAATATTTACGAATCAATCCTTGAGCAGGAGTCGAGCCCAATTCCATTTACTGATGCAACATATTATAGGGTGGGATTCTATGGTGAAAGTTTCGGGAAGCTGGATAGGAAGGAATACGTTTATCGTGAGCCCCGTGATGTGCGGTTAGGTGACATAATGGAGAAGCTCAGTCATGTATATGAATCTAGGATGGATGGCAGTCACACACTGCATATTATTCCAGACTCCAGACAAGTGAAAGCGGAGGAGTTGCAGCCGGGAGCTTGCTACCTACAGATAACGGCAGTTGACCCTGTCATTGAAGATGAAGATCTGGGAAGTAGAAGAGAGAGAATCATTTCTCTATCCACTGGGAGTGTCCGTGCTCGTGTATTTGACCGTTTCTTATTTGATACACCATTTACCAAAAATGGAAAGACTCAAGGTGGACTAGAAGACCAGTGGAAGAGGAGGACTGTTCTACAGACCGAGGGCTCCTTCCCGGCATTGGTAAATAGACTCTTAGTAACCAAATCCGAATCGCTCGAGTTCTCCCCTGTGGAAAATGCAATTGGAATGATTGAAACTAGAACCGCTGCTCTGCGGAATGAACTGGAAGAGCCTCGCAGTTCTGAGGGGGATCAACTTCCACGACTCCAGAGTCTCCAGAGAATACTCCAAGGCAGTGTTGCAGTTCAAGTGAGCTTCTTACTCAGTTTCTGTTATAATTTTATTCTTGTACACGATTGAAGTTAAGATACCGAATCAGATTTTCATCTTTAAGACTCTGATGTACTTCTCCATGAATGCAGGTTAACAGTGGAGTGTTGAGTGTGTGCACTGCATTCTTGTCCGGTGAGCCAGCTACGAGGTTGCGGTCGCAGGAGTTACAGCAACTCATTGCTGCGCTTCTTGAATTTATGGCTGTATGTAAGCGTGCAATTCGAGTTCATTTCAGATTAATTGGAGAGGAAGACCAGGAGTTCCACACCCAACTGGTGAATGGATTTCAGTCCCTCACCGCCGAACTATCGCATTATATTCCCGCCATTCTATCTGAATTGTAAGCACTGTGTGAATACCTCTTTTTTTCACTTTTCCTGGGTTTCATGTAGTAACTAACTCTACATTCTTGATCATAATTGCTGTGTAGTCTGTCGCAACATTGTATTTCTTCTTGTATATATATTTTGGTTCAGTTGCATCAAGATTTTACCGTGCAAGTGTGGTGTGTGCTCTAATAATAGGTTAAAAAATGCAACCACAAAGATAAACAGTTCATTTATTCTTGCAATCTAAATGACCTGTTCTCACTATCATAAGTGTCCAAGCGTCACAAATGTGTGGAATCAAAATTCTCACTACCAGTTACAATCAAGTTTATGGTGCACAGAAATTTGAATTCCTTGAATAATGTCTAGCAAAGGCATACAAGTACTGTATATAAAGATTAACTTAATTTATTGGTGAGGTTCGCCATCACAGCTTACTCTTTGGAACACCAACAGGTGAATTTCTGGACCTCTTTTCCACCACTCGCGACAACTGCTTAACAGCTTCCTTGGGCAGGCGACGAGGCATGCTCAACCACATCCCTCCATCGGCAATGATAGTTGTTCCATTCACGTATTTACCTTCAAAATATACATAATGTACGATATTTAATCAACTAAAGATTAATCTTGTGCACTTCAAAATAATAGACTCCTAAAACTTGAGATTCTTAAACAAATACATTTTACCCTTATACTTTCCATGCTGTTAAGGAATTTAACATTCTATTTTCCATCGACGATTGTATCTGATAGATCCATTTCTATAAAAAGTTTAAATAAATAAAAAGATATCTGAAAACAATTTTGAAAGTCAATGTTGACATGGTACCAAACAAGAAAGTTGTCAACAAGATCAACCTAAACCGAAAACATGAAGAGCTTCTACTTATCATTTTTAAAAATGCAACATGTTTGGGTAAGTCTCTAATGCAAAAATGATTAAAACATATGCATTACGGCCAAAACTCATGATTTTTGTGTACATGTCGGATCATACGCCAAGATGTAAAGACTAAGCATTTAAAACATTCTCAAAGCATGACTTTTTTTACCAAAAAATAAAAAAGTTTTGAAACATTCAGATTAACATCAAAAAGTAGAAAATTAAGAAATGTTGCATGATTAACAAGGGGCGCACCTGCATCCGAGGCAAGGTAGAGAGCAGCCATAGCAATATCCCATTTTTCTCCTACTCTGTACAAAGGCATATCTGCTCTTACCTTGCTGCTTATCTCTTCAGGTGCGAGTTTACTCAAACCAGGAGTACCCTGGATGGGTCCTGGTGCAATGCCGTTGACCCTAATATCATAATCAGCGCCCCATTCCAGAGCTAAGTTTCTTGTAATAGCATCTACAGCTGCCTGTTAGAAAGAAAATTCGACGAAAGTTCTTCCAACCGAAAAAGAGAGATTATAACCTTCAGACATGAACACAACTAACCTTGGCTGCAGATACATGAATTTGATACCAGACAGCTGTGTAATGCAAAGTAGCACTAATATTAATAATTGTTCCACCGGTAAGTGAATTCCTTCCAGGTCCTCCTTTCTTGAGATATTTAAGTGATTCATGGCACATTGTGAATGTGCCAACTGAATCAATATCCATAACTGCAGGGGATTGTCAAAATCAAGCGTAAGTAAATAGACTATGTGGCACTTCATGGAAAGCATGTTCCGGCAACAAGCGCCCATTTCGTATTATGTAATAACTACTTTCTGGTTTCAATCTTACACATTCACCAAACATCTTTACGTAAATGAACACGTCTCTATCTAAAATAATTAGATTAACTTTGAAAGACAAACACATGCAATAAAAAAAAAATGATTAAAATTTAAGTTTAGTTCTTAAATTTTCAAGTTTGTCTATTTAGTGCTGAACTTTAAAAAGTGTCTAGTAGGTTCTTAATTTTATCAAAATCGTATCTATAAGATCTCATAACTTTAAAAAGTTTAATAAATTTCTTAACTTTCGATTTTCTAGTTGTAGGTTCATAAATTTCAAACCACATTAAATAGGATAGTGACCTATTACATTCAATATTTAAGTATCTATTGAATCAAAATTGAAAGTTTAAGAACTTATTAGACACTTTTAAAAGTTCAAGGACTAGATAGACACAAATTTGGAAGTTTTAAGACTAAACTTGTAATTTAACAAAAAAAAAAAAAAAAAAAAAAAAAAAAAAAAAAAAAAAAAAAAAAAAAAAAAAAAAAAAAA